GAAGCCTAACTGGAAACGAGATATATCCAATATTTGTCTTTTGTTGGGATTGTATTTATTACAAGGTGTTATCATTGGCATTACAGTCAGTATTCCAATATTATTACAAACATATGGTTCAACATGGAATGAACAAGCAATATACAGTTTCGCTTTTTGGCCATTTAATCTTAAATTATTGTGGGCACCTATTATTGATTCAGTATTTATTAAACATTTTGGTCGCCGAAAAACATGTACATATATCACGTAAGAATACGAAAAGAAGAGCACATTGCATCACACCTAAACAGATACATACAAATAGATATGAAAGGACGAACTGAAGACGAGTGACGAGAAAATATGTAAAAAAATGAAAATAGAATCAAATAGAGCATCGAATACTTACTTCAAGTAACAGAAATAAAAGTATGGAGAATATCATAACACCCCATCTACGTTTGTAAAGAGAAGCGTGGTCTAGAATTGATAGTTTTTTTAAACGTTCGATATAGAAAAAAGAAGAAAAGTTTATGGAAGTTTTCATATCAATCATTAATATTTATGTTGTTACAGAGATAAAGTGTTATCAGTGCTATGCTTTGATCAAAAAAACCCCCCACAAGTGCCTTATCGTAGCGGTCATACACTCTATAATTCAAGTACCATGTTAGCTACATATTTCAAATCATGTATAGATATAAGTCTACTCATATACTGGTCAAACAATTATTATAGGTCCCTTTCAGAGATAAATAATTTTGTTTTTGTACAGACAAAATTTTGAGTAAAAATATGACACAATTTAATGATGATGAAATGTGTCCATTTCACAACGTCACATGGTGTATAATAATAAATTAGAATGACTAGACCTAAAGCTGCTGTAAATTGTATCATATGGTTTATAGATATAAACATTTCTTTTTTTCACATGAAATACTAATACTTTTTATCCGACAGAGATGAATATGTACGATGATCGATCACTTTGAACTTTGAACTAGTTTTTCCAAAAGAATCCATAAGTCAGCTCCGAAACATCGTTTTGATTCAACAACTTCGCGAAATTCTTAAATATGAGAGTAAACAAGCACTTTTATTATGAAAGTTAAGAAAACATTTTTTGGCGACTAAACTTGCGATAAACAAATATTCGGAGGCTTAGTCGTTAAAAACTATGTTTTCTTAATTTTTATAATAAAACTCCTTGTTCACTCTCAAATTTAATCTGATTTTCAGATAGCGACGAACAAAGGCACAATAAATGCTCGTTAGAGGTAGAAGTATGTAGTGAAATGTACCTCGGATGAAGTACCACTACAATATACACTTCGATAACTAAGATCATTCACTCGGAAGAAGCATGCCAAGACTGTGCCTCGATAGCTCAGTATTAGAGTACTGGTCGTGTTAACTGATGTCCAGGGTTCGATTCCCAGTCCAGACACGCTTTTTCCGAATGTCTGTTTATTACTAAAAACTATGTTTTCTTCACTTTCGCAAAACCGTGTTCTAGGGATGCCAATTATCTTCTCAAAGTTGAATGATTAACTATTATACAATGAAGAAAATCTGTTGTGATTTGTACGGTTAATATTCATCGAAATTGTGCAAAAATATTAATATGTCGAAAAAGTGCATAGGCGATGCATTGCCAAAAAGTTTTAATTACAGTTAAAACAATTTTATTTCTTTCATCAAACATGAATGGCGCCGGACTAATCTCTGAAAAATTTTTTCAAGTCCAAAACGCGTTTTTCTCCCAATTCACACGACTCACATTTTCTAAAGAATGTGACTACATTAAAAAACAAAATCCCTGTCAAAGTACGTAATGCTTGTCGACTTAAAAACTTAGGTGCGATCACGTCAATGATTTGTCTAAGTATCACATTGCTACGTTTTTTTAGCGAACTTTATTGATTTTCATGAATAACTATATATGATAGATTTATCTATAAATAAGAGAATAATTGACACCGTTTTTATCATTTTATTAGAGACGTTATGAACTTATAACATCATCATAACATGAACTCATAACATCATCAGTCGAAAAATGAAATGAATGAACAAGCAAGACGAAAGAGTATATATGTTGTAGTCATAATTCAAATTTATTTACTCATATAAAGGAATTGTGACTAGGCATAATTCAAATTAGAAGTATGACTAGTCATAATTCCAATCAGATTCAAATTCTTTAATTCAACGTCATGATCAAAGCTATTATTTATATTATTTACAAGTTTGGTTGTTTTTCAAGTAAAATCAGATACTTATGCTCTTAGTGCATAATACATTTATTTTTCTTTGTTTCTATCCAGTGTACTGTGCATATTGGCGGTGTATGTATGTATAAGGCGAGAAAAGAAATAGAACAGTAACAGTGAAGAGTGTAACAAGTCATAAACTGTCTATTATGTGCTGTTAAATCCATTGTGATGTATCAAGTTTCTTCTTTTTGCTTTCTTCTGTATAATATTTTGGAGTCCAGAGTGAGATGTATAAATAGTGTGGGTTGTTTGATAAAATTCATTTCACTTATAACAAGGATAATAAACTAAAATCATGTCATCTTCTTCAGTAACCACCCTCCAAGACAATATTGATTT